TCAATTCCTTATTTAAATTTACCCCATCTTAGACCTAACAACCCTCCCACTCCCAATTTAATGAGGGGTATCCAAGTAATTTCCCTTCCCTACTATTTTGTCTTATAAAGTATAGTTGTATTCGTTTTGGAGGAGGAGGGGGGGGGGAGAGTATTAAACTCACAGTATAAGTTGGGTATGAATTATGTGATCCTATAGTTCCTACAAATTCCTATTATGGTCAAAACATTCTTATTGGTCTCATTAGATACATGCTATTAAAGAGTATGCTAGAAAATTATTTGTATGTAATGGATTATGTGGTTAAAAATTAAATGTTTTAGCGTTAGCTCAATATTACATAACACTGCTAAAAATATAGTATCATTATTAATCTCCCAAAAATCTTAATTAAAGCCTAGGATATTTTAGTTACACTCCCTAGGCAAACTTGGGGATGACCTCTTTTTGACATGCTGGAGTCAGCTTTCAGTCACACTTATTTGCAATGTGGTTGACAATGTGAGAGTTACACATCAAGGTAAACGCATGAAGAGGAACGAGTGGGGCCAGTGACCTACCACACAAGAAAAATAGGGATAAAGAACTTAAGGCATAACCAAGAAATAAAAATTGGCTGAGGGCCAAGGCCCCCACACGTTATACACTAGGGATGCGTTTGGTTGGAGGGTTTTGGTGGGTTGGGTTGGGGCCATCCTTATTTTACAGCTGTTTGGTTTAAGAATTAGGTGGGTTGGGTTGGTTCTAAAAAGGAATATTCCACTCATTTCTGAGTTGAACTGGCCACCAAAAAATGACCGGACCAATCAAACCCACCTTGCGCCTCTCCTCAGCGGTAACCCTATCTCCCCAGTCCCCACCCCTTCTCTCCGGGGCGGATTCAACATGGGTGCCCCATGCATCCACCGAACCCATAGATACCCCTGAGCCCCCTTCAAATTTTTCGCTAAGTTTGATAAAATAAGAGGTGTTAAAAGGTTTCTTAATAGCATTTTAGCATAGTGTAATATTGAGATGGTATATTTATGCAGGTGTACTCGGTATGTTTAGTCCCACAACTTTCAAAAATGCTTAAAGACAGACGTACGACGCAACTTAAAAAAATCGGACACCCTTGTCCTAATCCAAAACTTACTGCCCCAGCCTAATCAGCCAAAGAAAAAGCCAAATTTTAAATTTTTAAACTTAATTTTGATATTGATTTTGAGATATTTTCAATGTACTTTCTTTTTCAGCATTGACTTTTAAGTTACCAAGAACATATATATAAAAATTTTACCTACAAATTCATTTTTATGGCTTATTAGGAAAAAAGTCAAACGATGGGCCTTACAGGCTCCCAACCACCAGCTTACCTCCACCACATATTCCTTCCTTCTACTTTTCTCCTCTTTGCTTTCTATCTCTCTCCTCAAAGAGTTCAACGCTGCGTGCTCTCGCCACTCTTGCCGCTGAGGTAGCACTTGCTTGAACTTATTGATGCTCCTCGGCCGTGCACGGAGAGGGAGCAGCAACATGGGCTGCATGCGCGTGCGTCGCCACTGTTGCCACTGATGCTCTCCTGGTGCTTGTCGCGAAAATGAAGTTGGACATCTGCTACTCCTGGTACTTATGAAGCTAAAAGCTAAGTCACACACGCGTCTTGCTTAGATGCTATGCAACACGAATGTGTTTATACTTCTTAGTTCTGTGGGATGGTTTGCTTCGTCCCACTCCTTCAATCAGAAGTATTGCAAGCTGCTATTGTCATGCTATGGAGCCGGATCCAATCCCAGTCATCGTCTTAGGTAGATTTTGCCACCAGTGTATAGGAAGAAGGCAATTCCATTCACTGGAGAGGAAAAATAAGGTGAAAGGTAGGGCTGTTGCAATCCATTGTTTCATCTTTTTTCGCTTTGGTTTATTCGAGTGTTTCACCCCTTTTGATTGAGATGTTGCACATGATGTGTACTATGTTTTCCCGATGTTGCACATAGCAATGTCTTCGTGTTTCGGTCAGCCTTTTATAATGTTACGACTTCTTGAAACATTTTTTTATCATGCACTGGAACATTTTTAGATGAGGATGTGAAACATTTCTCATTGAAACAATTTTTTTTAGGAGAACAACAACAGGAGATCTGCCGGAATTTTAATTAAGAGGGAAAAGAGTTTTACAGGGTGACAAAAACTATATTAAAGAGATTACAACTCATTGAAACAATTTTCACTAAGTGATGAAACATCTACAACAATTTCTTATTATACGGTGAAACACTGTCCGATGATTTGACAGAGATCGGACGTCCGATCCCTAGTCCTCTCCCCAACTTTTTGTTTCTGGATCTGCCCCTTTCCCCATTGCACACGAGAGGCGAAAGAAGTAGGCAGCAGCAGTGGCAGCAACCGTGCGAGCACGAGCGCCTGAGGCGGCGACTACGTGACCGCTACCGTGGCGACCGCTACCGTGTGCACAAGCCGCCGCCGCCGGCTCGCGTCTCCCCTCCGTCCTCCATCCGGGCGAAAGAAGAAGGCGGCGACATGGGCGCGGGAAGCGGCGGCAACCGCGCGAGCAGGAGCCTGCGGCGGCAACCACGCGATCGCGAGCGCGCGTATGAGCCGGTGGCGGCTTGCATCTCCCCTCCATCCTCCATCCGGGCTTAAGAAGCAGGCAACAGCATGGGAGTAAGAAGCCGCGGCAACCGCTCTTCGCGAGCCTGCGGCGGCGACCATGAACACGAGTGCGCGCACGAACCGCCGGCTCGCCGATTGACTAAGCCTATGGAGATATTTTTTAACAATGCAAGTACATATGTGCTTGATTTGAACTCTTGAAGTGTTTCCATAATAATCCTACTTGGTTAACCTTGCCCAAAAGGGAATTTCTTGATTTCTCTCCTTTTTATTAACGCGTGAATTTCTAACTCCTAGAATTAGGATAGGACTTTTAGGTGTTGCTCTAATCATTATAAAGAAATATAGCTCGTGAGAGCTTCTATTATGGTCAAAATAAAAATTTCACAGCTTGGTTTTTTTCCATTTCTCAAAAAAGAATACAATTCTAGCATTTAAATTTTGTAAAAAGGATTCAATTATAGTGATACTACTAACCCTCCAACCACTCCTCAATTCCTTATTTAAATTTACCCCATCTTAAACCTAACAACCCTCCCACTCCCAATTTAATGAGGGGTATCCAAGTAATTTCCCTTCCCTACTGTTTTGTCTTATAAAGTATAGTTGTATTCGTTTTGGAGGGGGGGGGAATATTAAACTCATAGTATAAGTTGGGTATGAATTATGTGATCCTATAGCTCCTGCAAATTCCTATTATGGTCAAAACATTCTTATTGGTCTCATTAGATACATGCTATTAAAGAGTATGATAGAAAATTATTTGTATGTAATGGATTATGTGGTTAAAAATTAAATGTTTTAGCGTTAGCTTCGTTATTAATCTCCCAAAAATCTTAATTAATTAAAGCCTAGGATATTATAGTTACGCTCCCTATGCAAACTTGAGATGACCTCTTTTTTGACATGCTGGAGTCAGCTTCCAGTCACACTTGTTAGCAATGTGGTTGACAATGTGAGAGTTGCACGTCAAGGTAAACGCATGAAGAGGAACGAGTGGGGCCTGTGATTACCACATAAAAAAATAGGGATAAAAAAACTTATAGGTATAACCAAGAAATAAAAATTGGCAGAGGGCCAAGGCCCCTACTTGTTATACACTGATTTGTCCTTGAGCCATGACGTAGTCATGGTATATGGTGGTGCAATATGTACCTAGCTAAGATTCGGATAGTGGCAATGTCAACTTTCTCACATTTTCTATATTTATTTGTTAATAACACACGTGATAAGCAAAAACATGTATAGATGTTTAATTTACCAGAGCTAATTTCAACATCAATAGCAGTCATCGGCTTCATGCTTAGGTGATCCTCTCTGGTCATCGTCGTGGAACGTAGACCTAAGAAAGCATCTCAGCAACATCGTCTAGCCAAGCTTGATGTGCACAACAAGCAGGAGCATCACTAGAGCTGCAAACATTAGCTCAAATGTTACTTCATCTGTCCCTAATTGGTTACCATAGAGTGACAAATGGACCCATTCATATAAATGGTTACAAATGGACGATCTTTTCTTTCGTACACTTCGTCTAAATGATAGCCTGCCGATCTTTTCTTTCGTACACCTCATCATAAATGATATGACAACTCTTGTAGCGTGTATGATTACTGTAAGTAATATTACCGTCGTTTTTAACCATTGTACATATAATTATGTTTGATTTTTCAACACATGATGTTTTTGACTTTTCAGCCCAACATTTGACTAATTATCTCATTCGTCAGTTCTTTATTCTATCATATCACATCAAACGATTGGAGCAATCAAATATCATTCTTGCAACTTTTAGCTTCACGCCGTGTTTAGGTACCATTCAAACTTTTAAAAATTCCGTCACATCAAATATTTGGATACATTTATGGAGCATTAAATGTAGACGAAAAAAACCAATAGCACAATTTACATGTAAATTGCGATACGAATCTTTTGAGCTTAATTGTGCCATGATTTGACAATGTGATGCTACAGTAAACATTTGCTAATGGCGGATTAATTAGGCTTTACAGGCAGAATCTGTACTTTGTTTTGTTATTAGTCTACGTTTAATACTTCAAATGTGTGTTCGTATACTTTAAAAAAAATTGGCCAAATAACTAAACACAGCCTCAATCATATCACGTGTAGCGATTATTTAGGAGAGCAAATTCAGCACAGGCTCGGTAACAGGACTTTTCAGTTAACAATCATATTATGAAGCTCAACAACACATATGTACAGAGAGTAACATACTACTCCCTCCGTTTCAAAATGTTTGACACCGTTGACTTTTTAGCACATGTTTGACCGTTCATCTTATTCAAAAAAATTCGTGAAATATGTAAAACTATATGTGTACATGAAAGTATATTTAACAATGAATCAAATGATATGAAAAGAATAAATAATTACTTAAATTTTTTGAATAAGACGAATGCTCAAACACGTACTGAAAAGTCAACGGTGTCAAACATTTTGAAACGGAGGGAGTACTCCACTACATTCAGACTTGATCGGAACTCACAGAACTACACCAATGGTTTCTCTAGAGACAAGAGAACAACCGGAGAGGACGATATTCTAGGTTCAAAGTTTCAAATAATGTTTTTGTAAGGTGAATAACCAGAGGAACACAAGGACGATATTCTAGCTTGCGGTGTTCTTATAATGCTCATGTAGCCCGTTTAGTTTTTCTTCTCCTATAAATCCTTGTAGGAGAACGAGTGTCTCCAGCACCGGTATTGTTGCTACTCTGATCAGGGTCATTCACATCTTGCTCAGGTTGAGAGGTATTTGATGTCACACTTGTTTCCGCAAGTTCTGTTCTCAGATATCCACTTGCGCTGATCTGCCGCCTCAGTCTCAATATCTCACCTTTTGCTGTGGCCAATTCCTCTTCAAGTTTCTTAGACATCGTTTCAAAATTCTCCCTCTCCGTTCCAATCATTCTCATAAGATTCTGAGCATCCTCCATATCTTTCTGAGCTTCCATTGTACTTCTCTTTTGTTGCTCAAGAGCCTCTGAAAGCATCTCTTTCTCTTGTTCAATAGAAGAAATCCTAGAATTTGCGCTATCCAGCCTCTCAGACAGGAACTGTGTACTCTCATCCACCTCTTTTTGTGAATTGGTCACCTCATCAAGGTCTGCTTGAAGAGCTTGTCGTGCTTCAGATTCTACAATCGATTGTTCCACCAATGCCTCAAGCTCCCTGTTTAGAGTAGCATTAATTTTACGTTCTCTAACAAGCTCATCTGTTGCAGACTCTAACTTCTTGTATGCATCCAGCAGTTCTTTATTAAGGTCCTCACGTGCTTCCATAGTTGACACTAATTGATTAGAAGTGACATCAAGCTTTTCTTGTGTCTTTTGAAGTACATCCCTTACTGATGCTAATTCATCTGAAAGAACTTTAGAAACTGCTTCTGCCTCTGCAATTTTGTTAGTCAGAACCTGTTTCGCTATATTGGACTCGTCTGTCAACTTCGTAATCTGGGTTATCAATTGCTGATTTGATATCTTCACTCTATTAAGCTCTTCAGAGAGGTTGAACACCTTGTCTCTGTAATCTGTTAGTGCCCCTTCAGTGGACTGAAGAATCTCTGATAATTTCTTATGAGCTTCAGCCTCATTATCTAGCATAGTTCTGTTGGTGTCCAATTCATTGTTCAGCTCAGCAATTATAATTTTGTTCTTACTAGTGTCACTTAATGCAGCAGATAGTTTTTCTTCAAGCTGGTTGAGCAGGTTATCTTTCTCGATCAGTAGTTCAGAATCACAAGATGCCCTCAACTCAGAAGCAGCTGCAAGGTCTGCATACTGTTTCTTTAGTTCACTTATCTTTTCTTCTGCTCCAGTTTGTGCAGTGTATAGTGTTTGGACTTCCTTATTCAATGAATCAATTGAACACATCTTTGAGTTCAGATCATCTTTAGTTGCAGAATAACCCTCCTCCAGTTGCTCTATTTTAGAATCTGCATATTCTAGGCTTGCTTCGGTTTCATTGTAGATCAACTGCAGCTTCTGATAGTCTTCTTCCTTGGAAGAGAGTGATGAGCTTAGTTCCCTGATGGCTTCCTCCTTGGCATTCACCTCTTGGCTGAGCAGATTTACTTTGTCCTGTAAACTATCAAGTGCTTCCAACTTCTCTCTCAGTTTGCCTTCAAACACATGTTTGTCGTCTTCTGCTTGTGCAATGCTACTCTTAAGTCGATGTATCTCTTGTTTAAGCTGCTCAACTAGTTCTTTCTCCCTTCTCACTTCCTCGTTTAAAGATGTTACTGTTCTCTTAGTCAAAGTCAATTGATCCAGAAGGGAAGCTTCCTTCTCCTGGAACATCCTAGCCTGTTTCTTTTGTTCTGCATGTTCATTCCATATCTGTTTCTCATAGTTTTCCCTAAGCATGGACATTGCTGCCTCATTTTCAGCCAACTTGATCTCCATCTGAGCAAACATAACATTACACTTATTAATTAGGGAAAATATTTTTCCAAAAATCTGATTTTCACAATATGTACATTCCAATATTATAAAACATAACCTCAATAATGAAGGCCCTCATAGTATATCTGCAATCTATATTAATTCATCGACTATATAAGAGGCATGCAGATATTCTTTCCTAAGGTTCATAGTTCATACTGATTGGTCCTACACTGTTACCATGCTATACAAAATTGAAGCTACATAGTGGCAGGTATATGCATCCAGAAACAGAAGTGTGAAAGAACTAGGGGCATGCTATTATGCTCTGCGGTGAAGGAAAATAAATTACCAAATTAACACATGTCTGTATGTTTGATCAAGACTATTATCAGAACACCAGAAAATCAGCATAATTTTCTATTGAAACAGTGACCAAAGAAAGTCAACCAATTTTCAACTATGGATACTATTACTGTCTACAGAGTTAACATCATGATTACTACATCTCCAAGTGCTAGGGGAAACTAAACAAAACAAATGAAGAGTGGTCCGAAGGTGTCCAAATTTGTAACTGAAGAAATAGATGCTATCCTGTGTGTGCAGCATGGTGATATCTCAAGGTAACATGATGGTGTACAACATATTTCTATAAGCATATAAAATCTGCGATGACAAATAATAGCTAACAATAATATAGCAGAAGTAAAATAACTCTAAGATATGCTGACTGAAAGGATGGCAGATGGCATACAGTTGAGACGGTAGATTGCAACGCCTCTTTTTCCCTTTGAGAAGCACCAAAAAGTCCAGCAAAAACACCAGAAGCAATAACTGCGATTGCATTCAGAAGACCTGCAAGTGGATTCACTGCAGGTGGTACTTTCACCTCAGCCAGAGATTCCTCAGCCGAAGGTTCTTCAGGTTGAGTCTCCTCAGTCTTCACAGTGTCCATTCTATCTGCAAAAAACAGTGTAACCAAATTTGTCGTGTGTCAGATCATCACAAGGTATAATGCGAACCATTTGACTGATAAAGCAAACTTATGTTTAACACAAATGCCAGGAGATGAACAGAATGCCACATATGTGCACAATCAGAAGTGTGTCACCGAGGCAAAGAATGATTTCTATGTGTTATGAAACAGATCAGTTCTGGTACACAGCTAAATACAGGATTAAGTTGCCAATTGGGTCAGGGTGTGCACCAAATGTGTTTGTTGTGTGGCCATAGGAGCATTGCCTTGTTGGGATGGAGAACCATTGGAACTACCATCTTGTTTCCCATCTTGTTCCCTAGATCGATTCCCTTATCTAGCTTTGATTCGATCCTCTCCAAATCACACTACTACCACAATCTGTGAATCCTGGTCACCAGAATGCCCGCGAACTAGTCGTGATCACATCATACACGAACTGACCAAAAACAAATAGCCGAAATAACAAAATTCCAGAACTGGGATTAATCTGCCATTATGGGTTAGTAGCAACTCACCAGTGACGAGATCCACCGTCGTCGTCGACGGCGGCCGCGCCGCGGCCGCCGCGAAGGCGGCGTCGCGCAGGCGGAGGAGCGGGAGCACCGAGACGCCGACCAGGAGCACGGCCCTCCTCCCCGCCGCCAGCGCCGACGGCGACGGGGAGCAGGCGGCGGCGACACGGCCCGCGCGCGGGCGGCGGCGGGAGGTGACGAGCGAGAGGCGCGCCGGGTGCGGGTGCGGCGGCGAGAGGAGGAGGTGGTGGTAGGCCATGGCCGCCGAGAGCTAAAACCCTAGCCCCCTCAGCGCCCTCGCTGTCGCTGCTCGGCGGCGGCGGCGGCGGCGCGGAAGCGGAGCAGCAGGAGCAGGAGTAGGCGGGCTCGCCAGCTTCCCACAAATGATTTAATTTAGTACTTCTAGTAGAATTTTAAAAATGGAATACCGTTCCGTTAGCAAAGGAAATTTCTGAAATTTATTACTCCAGTTGTTAAATTTTTCTTCAATTATCGTACCAACGCATGTCTTCACTAACTCGTATAAATACACAGATACACTATACCTTTACACCAACTACCACTAAAATAATAATTAATCGTAAATACAGGCACTCCTACTAAATTTGGGACTTAATTGTAAGGCTGTGTTCTTTCCCCATCTTTCTCAACTCACATCCCTCAACTTCCGCGCGCACATTTTCAAACTACTAAATGGTGTGTGTTTTTTGCAAAAAAATTTCTATATAAAAGTTATTTTAAAAGATCATATTAATCAATTTTTAAAAAAGATTAATACTTTAATCATCCGCTAATAAGTCGCTCCGTTTTACGTATGCACAAGATTATTTACCAACATCAACACAAAGCCTAAAAACCTAACAACTTGAGTTATGCTCAATTCGTCTATAGTCTTTAACTTTTATGTACTGTATTAATATTTCGTAGAATTAGTTCAAAAGTTTATTGCAAGTGTATGTAATACTTTCTTGAATAAATTTATTTTTAAACATATATTTCAATTATTGTTGTTCTAATTCTAATTCTAATCAAAGTGGTCCACAGCCTACATATATTGGGCCGAAATTAAGCCTACAGGTTACGCTATACGAGCCAAAATTAGGCCCATGGAAATAGAAAAATGAACCGCAAGTCAGCCCAATAATGACTTCACATTTGGCCCACAGGCTGCACTTAACGGGCCACAATTAAGCCGAAGGCTGTCCTAAAAGGCCGTACTTTTTTAGGCTCAGTCTGACCACACAATGAGGCCCACAATCTGCAGTAAATAGGCCGACAGAGAACACAAATTTTGACAATTTGACCATTTGCAAAAACTATTTTTACAAATAAACCGCCGCCAAAACTTATTTCAAAAATGACCATTTTGTTCAGCGCCAAATCGTGTGGCGCTGAACTTACAGACCTCAGCATCAAATAGCGTGGCGCTGAATGTACGTTGGCATGCTGACTTGGCCTCCCATCCGCGGTGGCATGGCATTCAGCGCCAGTTGACATGGCGCTAAGGTGTCTAAGTTCAACGCCAGATAATTTGGCATTGAAAAAAAAAGGTTATTTTTTAAATAAGTTTTGGCGGCGGTTCATTTGTAAAATTAGTTTTTTCAAATAGTCAAATTGTCGAAAAACAATTTTCAAATGGTCAAATTGTCGAAAATTGTGCCGACATCACGTCCTTAGACTGTCCTGATTTGATCCTAAATGCCTCCAGTAGTCCAGTTTAGCCGAATGCAGGAAAATCACAATTTCCTTTATAAAGAGTTAACAAAATTGTCTAGTGAAACAAATGTTAACAAAGGCCGTCTCTCATGTTGGTTTGATTTCCTCCAAATATTCAAGTATAATGTTTTAGATTTTTAATTAAGTTACCTCCTCTGCCTATGTGCTTGTACTCCCAACGACTCGTAAAGGAAGTCGTTTTCAATTCTGCAGCTTTAAGTGAATCTGAGAAAAACCGTAAAATAGTTGTATCATCAAGTGTACCAGAGATATACTGCTTCAAACAAAAATGTTGCACATAATTGAACTGAACACATAAATTGGAATCTCAATATGGAGCCCACCAAAAGATTTTGAGAGAATGAAATGATCTCTGAACTCATGAACAGTGAGAAATCATCACATATGCATCATTGTTCTGAAAAATTGCCTTCCATGCACCATTACTGCCACTAGATCATGAAAAAAATATTAGGCATCTTCAAGGCGGCCTTTCCAGATTCATTCCAACTCTTTCTACAGATCAACAAAGCTGTAAAATATCATCACAATGGCATAATTGCTCAAAGTATATATAAAGAAAAATAGCGCACGAAATTACCCGAAGCAGCTCAATGCCATTATCTAAGAGTTGTTGCAAAAAATTACAACACATAAACATTGTCATTGCTGCTAAGAACCTAAGAAACAGAAGAAGAAATGGAAATTGCAGTGGCCAATAGCCTTGAGACCAAAACCACAGGCTATCTAAATGCAGGCAACCACCACTCCCTAAACTAAAAGCCCAGAGCTCAAAGCTCGGCAAATTTTGGAGATAGCTAGATGCAGCTTCCCATCCTCCATGACCTGCCGATCCACCGAATTTCTCGACTGCTGAAACACAAGCTTACAAGATCAGCACAATGGTGGTGGTGGTGGTAGCGGCGACGATGATTGTCTACGTTATTGATCATCTATCCCGGTACACAGCGCTTCGGTCAGGCATGGGGGGAGCTGGTGCTCATGTCAAGCACGGCCATTCCAGCCATGAATAAGTCGTCGTGGAATGACGACGACGAGCCGATTGAAATGGGGGAGGAGACTGCTGTGTTGCTCTCCTCTTCATCCTCTATCAGGATCTCTTGCTCCCTGCAGTCGCCGCTGCAGAATGCCTTCTCACCTCTGCAGAAGACATTTCAGCAGATTAGTCAGTGTTTGCTATGAAACATGAGCTTTCACGAGTCTGAGATTTGCTCGATTTCATTACCAGGTTGCTCAGTTAAAGAATGCATCCTTGGTCTCAAACAAACAAACAACCGAATTATCGATTATAGCCTTCCAATCTATCAAGTTCAATAAGAAACAAAACACTAAATTCTACAATACACTATCTTCAATCTATTCACTTGAGAAAAAGAAGAAAAGATGAATCAGCAAATTCTAAAATATGCTACTCCCAATCTCTTAAAGAAAATTTCAACACTTGTCAACACATCAAAAATGCAATTTCTCCAAACTCCCAGAACAATCAAACTAAGAGCACTTTCATCTTAATTAGAAATATAAAGTAATATCATAAGATGATTGTGGTAGCTGCATCAATATACCGATAAAAGCAGAGGTCACTGCCATCCAGCTTCTTGCAGGACGAGCAGAGGCGGCGGAGCTCGTCGCCGGAGCCGGACAGCTTCACCAGCCAGTAGGACTCGGTGCAGGGCTCCAAGATGCAATCCCCAAAAATGTGTGTCGTCTTCGGATTGGGTCCGCGAGCGATGATGCGGGTGTAGTCCTCCGATTGCTCCACCTCCGTCGCCGACACTGACCCGATGTACTGCGGCAGCGGGCGCCCGATCGACGCCGGCAGCGAGCCGGTCGCCGGGAACTTGCCAAGATCGGCAGCGGCGGCGTGGACACCGCCGTTCACGCGGAGCTGAGCGGCGCCGGCGACGGTGACCTCTGGACCAGACTTCACATCCCCGTAGAACCTGCTGCTGCACGGCACCGACATGCCGGCGGCGGCGCCCACGGCGTTCCCGAGCTCAGGCTGCGCGGGGCCGCAGGGTCTCGGCTTGGTCGGGCGCATCTGGGGCATGAGGAGGCGGCTCATGGCGGCGGCGCCGGGCGGCTCGGCGAGGCCGTCGTCGATGAGGCCGCCGAGCCCGGCCCGCCGCGCGTCCCAACTCCGCGGCGACCGGAGAAGCGGGGGCGCGGCGAAGGCCCTGAGGTCGAGCGGCGACGTCGGGCTGCGCACCGGCGAGTCGCACTCGCACGGCCTCGCCGCCGCCGCCGCCGCCGCCATCCCCACCAGCAGCCGCGGCACCTTGAAGAGCGCCGCCGCGCCGCCCCGGGGCTTCCCGTCCGCCGCGTCCCCGGCGTCGGGCGGCGCCACCGCCACCCTCCTCAGCATCGTCTCCTCCTCGATCCCCTGCAACGCCGCGCCGCCAACCAAGATCAAGCAACCAATCGATTGATGGATCAACGCAGCCGCAAGAAACCCCCCAAAAAAAAGAAAAAAGAAAAAGAAAAAGAAAATTCCAGTATTCTTTAGCTACGATCCAAGAACAGGTCGAGCTCGTCGGAGGGAGGCGGCGCAACGAGACAAATCGCCATGGATGGGCGACGGCACGATCATCGGATAGAGATAAAACCTCATCCCCGCGGAATCTCAATCTCTCCCCCCCAAACAAGACAAGAACAAAGCGCAACCCCCACCTGATGAAGATGAAGATGAAGATCAACCTCTCGTCTTTGTTACTGCTGCTAGCTTCTCGGCCACCGGTGTGCAATGGCGGCAAAGCAATCAAGAAGAGCAGCTCAACAATGAGCTCATCTATCACTAGCTAGCTCGGCGCAGTGAGGTGACGGGTTAAGAGCAGGGTGCAGTGTGCAGTGGCAGTGCAGAGCTCGGGGTTTTGCTTTCCTTTGGGCTGTGATGGATCATTTTCCATCACATCAATCTGTCGTACACATATAGGTGGTGTCTGGATCCAGGGACTTAATTTTAGTCTCTGTATTTAGACACTAATTTAGAGTATTAAACATAGACTACTTACAAAACTAATTACATAAATGAAAGCTAATTTGAGAGACAATTTTTTTAAGCCTAATTAATTCATAATTAGAAAATGTTTACTATAGCATCACATAAGCTAATCATGGATTAATTAGGCTCAATAGATTCGTCTCGCGAATTAGTCCAAGATTATGGATAGGTTTTATTAATAGTCTACGTTTAATATTTATAATTAGTGTCAAACATCCGATGTAATAGGAACTTAAAAGTTTTAGTCCATTTAAACAGGGTCATAATTTTTTAGTTACATCATCTTCAATTTTAACCAAAATCCAAACTTTACGATGAAGTAAACACAACCCGGTTGCTTCTGAAGTACTCCTCCTCTCTCTCTCTCTCACTACGGATCGTATCATTCATGGGTGTCAGAGCGGAGGCAGAGGAGGTAGGCGACGCGTAGCGCGGAGTAGGAGTAGCTGCCTCGAGATACATACTGGTTTTCGTGCCCGACCGTCCATCTTATTTAAAAAAATTATAAAAAAAATTAAAAAGACAAGTCACTCATAAAATATTAATCATGTTTTATCATCTAACAACAATGAAAATACGAATTATAAAAAAAATCATATAAGACGGACAGTCAAAGTTGGACACGAAAATCCAGGGTTTGTCTTTTTTGGGACGGAGGGAGTATGGGATACGAGTGTGGATACGGCTGTGTTCAGTTTTAACGCAAAGTTTGGATTTTAGTTGAAATTGGAGATGATGTGACTGAAAAGTTGTGTGTGTATGACATGTTGATGTGATGAAAAAGGACTGAAGTTTAGATCCAAACTTTAGATCTAAATACAGCCTACGTATATACTATACGGCTGGTTTTGCGGTACAAATACATTGTGATGGTACTCACTGACACATACCAAGCTGGTACGTTGGCAGGTGGTTCCCACTTGTCAGGGTAGCACGGCGATTTTGCCGTCACCTAGGAGTACCGAGAGCTCCATCCTACCGTTTGTTGCAGCTCACGTCCTGAACGTGGTTTACGAGTTTTCGTGCCCTATTTTAACCGTTCATGTTATTTAAATTTTTCTTTAAAAAAAATAAAAATATAAGTCACGCATAAAGTATTATTTATATTTTATCATCTCATAACAACAAAAAAAAAATACTAATTACGAAAAAAAATTTAAATAAGACAAACGATTAAAGTTGATCGTGAAAATTTATGATTGCACTTAAAATAGGACGGAGAGAGTACCTTCAATGGGGTCATATAGCCGTTAATAGGTGCGTGATGTGTTAGATCAAACCAGTAGCACATATCTTATCTTCCTAATACGTTTTTGCTAAAAGCTTATCTACATGGACGTAATATTTATTGGCTTTAGGATTTAAATTTTGATGGGTAAAGTCAATACAACCACAGATCCACCACCATACTATCGATGCTTCCCCATACTGTGTTAGATTTTGTGCATTTTAAGGTGAAAACCGGTCCCTGACGATCAGGTAAATCATGGTTCCGACAGCCTCATGTAAACACACTCTGTTCATTACGCTTAAGGGCCCATTTAAATCGCAGGATTGAGAAAACGTAGAAATAGAAAAAACGTAGGATTTTCATAAGAATGCAAGTGTAAAACAGAGGATTACAAAACACAGAAAAAACGCAGGAATGATTGTTTAATTGGATCATAGGAAAAACATAGGAATCAAATGAGAGAGATAGACTCAGAGGATTTTTACCAAGATGTTGGACCTTTTGTTAAGTTTCCTTCAAAACCTATATGCAACAAGCCATTTCATAGGAATTTTGTAGGATTTGGAAAACTTTAATCCTTTGAATCAAAAGGGGTACATATGAAAATGTCATATAGGATTTCAATCCTATGTAATTCCTTCATAATTCATTTGATTCAAAGGGGCCCTAAGTGTAAAACAGAGGATTGCAAAACGCAAGAAAAATACATGAATGACCGTTTGATTGAATCACAGGAAAAACACAAGAATTGGATGAGAGAGAGACTCAAAGAAAAGTTAGCAAGAGACTCAAAACTCTTGCTAAATTTCCTCTAAAATCTCTATAGGATTGTCCATTCTATAGGAATTTCGAAGGATTAGATAGGATTCAGTCCTTTGTTTCAAAGGATTTCATAGGAAATTTTTCTATAGGATTGAAATCCTCTAAAAATTCCTATGTTTTTCCTCCAAATCAAAGAAAATTTAGAAGAAACATGGTCATTTTAATAAGTTTTCACATCATTTGCTTTGGTGCATGGGCGTTCGTGCCATACAACAGCACAAATTTTGTGCCTCTTTTAAGAAATTTTGAAAACAAATTAAGCTATTTTTTACGAAATGTCGTAGCATTGCCACTTTCTGCAACACTCATGAGATAAGGAGTATTGTGCCATTATACTTAGGGATGGCAATAGGCCCGATCCCTGACGAATAGAACATCCATTAGAGGTTGTAAATGAGGCAATATCCCTACGAATATATCATATGCACAAAAAAACTTCTGTATACACATCATAAACATCAACTAACAAATATCATCTAAAATTCTAAAATGAATTGTATGTGTGTTTTCAATAGTATATATTACACTTATGTGTAAAGTTTTAACCTCAAATTTATTATATGTTAACCGTAAAAAAGATAAAAATACCGACAATTTTAAGAGTATAAATCTATTATAAGTTTGTTTTTTCTTCTCTATGTATGATGAATATGAAAGTGGAACTTTATACATAGATACAACGCTGAATCCCCATGCCCCCCCTCCCCCCCCCCCACCACACACAAAAAAAAAAGTACTATTCACATGTGCATATCCATCGGTGCACAACTCATATATAAACAAAGCCCACTTAGAAACTTAATACGGAGGTTCACACATATATACAAACGAAACTCAAGAACACTCCTCTCTATAGTCTTCCTCACCTTTCAGATCCAACCAGTCAAAGGTGAATCTTTAGGCTCGCCATTGGGCCTACATGGTCACGCCTCTAGGTTGTTTCCTCGCCATTGCCTCCACACTCAACAAGCCGACGACACTTCTTCGTCATGTCATGGGCCGTCGTCGCAACGAGGGAATGGCTTATGTGCCTGAAAGGTCATTAGCTCGTTGTCGCCTTCACCCATCTCATGCCTCAATGGGCCGAAGCTACAACACCACAATCTCCCCGACACCTCCACGTCGTGCTGCCATCACCAAGTCACGTCCTGAGGGTTGAAGCCCCAACACAATGGCCTCTTCGACAACTCCGCGTTATGCACCTACGCCACGCCATGTCGCACTGTCGTCGCCACCTACATACTCGTGGGGTGTGGGAGTGGGAATACGACAAATAACCCATATCTGTTATGGGGACTGAGACGAACAATATCTAGCCCTATGTACGGGGATGATGATGGTCGAATTCCTTCACTCCGAAAACGGGGAAAGGGGTAATGAAGTAATAAAGCCTGGAAGGGACAACCCCGTTGCTATCCCTAATTACTGTACCACATTAAGTTAACAATGTTGTGCCGCAGGGTACACCATCACCGGCGCTGTTCGTTTCTCTTGTGAGTGGGGCCCACATGGCAGGGGGTGGTGGGGACGGATCTTATCTCATTAGCTCATGGTACAGTAACAGCAGCTAGTAGTACTAATAACTACAGTAGTAGTAAGTGCACTTTTTATGGAGACAGCGATGGCCCGACGACGATGACAAAGCTGGGGCTCCTGGGCCCTACAGCGCTTCCTGGTTTTCTTTCACCTCAGGCCCACTCATATATGCTCCCAGTTACTATGTTCCTATAGATTTTACCTTGGGGTGAATATTTTTCTTTCCTTTTCATGCCTTGTGTCTTCGGTTGTATCCTAACTGGGGAAAAAAATAAAATTGTACTGCATTTGTTCTAAAGGTTTGTTGGAACCATGCCACCCTATATTTGCAAAATTTGAGATATGCCACCCGTATTTCAATGACATGTAGGACCCACATGAGTCAATGACATGTGGGTCAGGGTGGCATATCATAAATTTTGCAAAATTTGTGTGGCATAGTTCAAACTCTCCCTTGTTCTAAAATATAAAGGCTTATAGGATGATACTAGTTGTATCCTAAGAACGTATTTAGAAGAGGAGAAAGAAGAATATTGAGAAGATATGTGAAATAAGATGATCAATTAACGCATGATTAATTGAATATTAATAATATTAAACTTGAAAAGGAATTAATATGATTATTTAAAAACAATTTTACTATAAAATTCTTTTGTAAGAAACACATCGTTTAATAGTTCGGAAAACATGCGCGTGGAAAACGAGTGAGTTTCTCTCTCTTTCCTCTTCTAACAAACACCTTAAGACTTCTTTGAAACACATGATGAAAGAAAATGGAGAAATAACAAAAAGATAAATATAGCGTTTGGACAAGAGAATATATAAAACTACATAACACATAAAAAGAAGTGAGTAATAGTTTGAATAGACCGCATGAAAAAACACATTAATCAAAAGGAATTTTTAGGAGGCTGGAGCTTTTGCTAACTTTTCTCTAAAATCTCTATAGGATTATCCGTTCCTGTTGATGCGAAAAACACACACTAGCCTGGAAGATCTGCTTAACTCCTGTGCAGGTCCAAAATCTTGCTTTTAGGTTCGTGAGCGTGCCAGTTGATTTGATCCTGCAATCAGCAAGAAAGAAAGACAAGAAAAACTGCGGTTAAATCCATAAACGATAGCCGATCGGCTAGGTGCCGATGATATATCATTTATCTTTGAGCCGATGTCATATTGGAATCGATCGGTAGTAATGAACGAATAAGATAGAACTAAATCTACTCGATCGGCTATAGATATTAACAATATATAGTCTTTCCTTCGATATATATTTAAACTAAGTGATTGGG